GATCCTTACTTGTGCAATGTCCCATTATAGGTGAGAAGTACGCGCTACCAGAATGTACGCCACGAATGAGATGTGGATATGCAGCGTTCTCCGGACAAGACACGTATGATGCGACCGCAAGCTAGTTACCGAAAGACTGGGTTGGTGGGTAGGAGGTGCTCCAGCTCACGCTCAGCCTGTTACTGCCGTTGTGTCCTCATCCTGCTGCTCTCGGTGTGTGGCTGTCTGCATCTCGTGGCTCTACGCGCTCACTCTGACTGTGCGTGTCAGAGTGCTAGCGCACCGCTTGCGGCATCGGATATCGCCCGCGCGCGACAGCAGCCAGCCCTAGTTATTCCTTGCTCCCCCGCCGCTGCTCCTCCTTCCACGGTCGTTCCATCCCTTCGCCGCCACCGAATCGATTCAGACGGGCGTATGTGGCGTTGAAGAGTGTTAGTTAGTGAGGGAGTAAGCGAGAGAAACGTCAACTCCGTGAAATCTCGAGCATCTTTGCGTAGAGGTGCCCAACCCTCCCACGTCACACATTTTTTCGTGCGTGGCGCGCAATGTAGATCTTCACTGCTGGGTGTAGATGTGCATAAAGTTACCGTTGTCACTATCAAGCAACACTGGTGAGCAGTACACGGTTTTCGGTATCAAATTGTTTGTAAAGAAGCCATTGCTTCCAGAATGAGTTTTCGACGAGAGGGAATGCTGCTTAACACGGCTCCAGATGAAAGAGAAAGGGATGCTATGCAAGTGGACGAGTACGGCGATTGTTCGAATACGGTAGGCGCGAAATGTATGTACGTGGGCACTGCTGCCCGCATGGCGTACAGAATCGACGGAATATGTGAGCTAGGAGGAGTGTAGCCATCAGGTGGGGGGGGGGGGATTGAGGGCAGTCACTTGAAATGCGTGAAAAGCTGGGATGTGTGAATTACTACCATAGCGTCACGTCACGTCACAGCAGTGGGCATCAGCCCTCACTGACATATCCCTTGTTTCAGAAAACGAGAAGTGCATCGAGTTCAGGCCACACACCACAAGTGACGACGGACTCGACAATATGTAAATGTTTTCTGCCAATGAAATGACTAGCCGGCTGCAGGTGCATTCTCTGAGATTGATACTAGGTACAAACATTTATCATTCATATACCAACTATCAGCTATCGCAAACAAATACCATATTTACTTCGAGGCCGTAGTCACTTGTGGTGTGCAGCCACACTCTGCGCAAACCTGGTTCCCGGAAGCAGAGTATACATTCGCGCATACCGCATTCCAAAAATCGGTGTGCCCATCCCACGGGTGCCCGACAGGAGGGAGTCAGCGGACGAGTCGCAGCGCAACCTGTGTGATGTAGGACGTACACGGGTACATTCAATTTAATTTGAGGCGGAGTCGTTATAGCACGTGCTGTGACTTGCCGCGCGACAGGCCTTTCGGGTACCCCAATCTCACTAATATTGAACTGAGAAACGTTCCTTACTGACCAAGATTCCAGGCACGCATTACCATATGTGATATCCTAGAATGCATTCAGTGACACTTATACTGCTCAGAGTATGTTAAGCTCAATGTCTGTTGTTCAGTCAATCTCTCAACTATGAGACGAGAAATTTTCCAGTTCCTCAGGACATAGCTAGTAGTTAATATTCTTTGTTCATTCTTTGTTGGTTGTACTGCTACACATATCTGTTTTATCATTACCTTTCTATTGTTTCAGGTTCCCATAGGTAAACACCATTGGTTAGCAAGTACTAACATGTGATTGCGTTTGTTTAGATGCTTCTACTCACATGATCCTCCTTGCAGGCATGTAGTAAATATGAAACAGGAAATATCTCAACGTCTGAGTGAGCGTGTCACGTATTTTTTGATGACTATGAAGGAGATTACGGGACAAATCTTAAGGCTGTTTTCAGCTTTTTTTTACCGTTCCAATACTATTTGACTCAAACCGGCTTCTTGTGAAGAGGCGCTGCTTGAGTGGAAACAACCGTGCTGGTTGGGCATATTGTGAATTTATATGTTTGCCAGCAATGTTTGGAGGCAAGTCCTAACGGAACCGCTCAGGCGCCCAGATATGGAATATTCCACTAGACTTCCCACCCTTATCAAGCTATGGCAGAGTTTTAACGCAGATTTAACCATGGAAAGGCAGCGTAATAAAAATCAAAGTAGAGGTGGTCACTGGTGCAGCAGTAAAAAAAAACATGAAAAACGGTCCCCATAACCAGGATCAACCGTGCGTTGCACAGTTTTCAATGAGGGGTGGTACCTTAAGTTTCTTGAGGGATCGTATTTTGGGTCGGTGAAAGTGAAAAAGTCGAAAGGAGGGAAAGGAGGGTCATATTGCTGGAGCTTGATGGAGTCGTAACGGTAGCAGAGGGGGTCACACGAGCGGACTTTGGAAAACTTCATGAAAGAAGCTGGGGAGGGAAAAGAGTTCGAGTTGAGAGAGTTCTCCGTTTCTTTAGCATGTCTGCCCCACCTCCTCCCCTCCCCATCACCTGGACGGCTGTCTTGTAGAAAAAAGTGGGCGGAGCTGGGCTGTGTCGACTGTCAACTGGGGTCGTACAGGGTAGCTTCGTAAAGCTGGCGGTGGTGGTAGGGGGTTGTAACGAGACCCCCTCAAAGGAGAGAGGGTCGTAAAATTTCAGAAATCTGCGCATGCAGTTGACCCTGCCCAGCACCAACAAATGGAACCCCTTCCTTGCCCGTTGATTTCTGCAATGATGCGACTTTTATCGATGTCGCCCACTTCAACACTAATGCTCCCTCCGTTAAACGACTGGAAGCCAAATAGCGACAGTGGGAGTACCGCGCCAGTAATGCTGCGGAAAGGGCCATGCTAGATCGCCGGGGTTATGTCCGTCCGCACTCTCATGGGTCCGCCTGTCTTCCCCCTTTTGAGTTTTCCGTTCTTCAACCTTCCTCCTTCGAGGCAGGCTTTCATGCGACTGCGATTCTCGAGCAGTGGCTCACGTTCCTCCTCCGAACATGCGCCTCTGTACTTGAAATTTCGCTGTATTTTGTGCGGCTCAAAATAGCATTTTTGCTGACTACAATGTTTAGCTGAACCGCTTTCAACAAAATACTTTGAAAGTTATAATCTTTCCAGGAAAGAAGCGATCGAATAATGTGATTACCTATCGAGAATTCTCCGTTTAGGAACTCTTATTGGTGAGAATTTGAAATCATGATTACTTCTCAAGCGTGAAGGAAGGGAAGGATAGTATCGTGGACTAGAATCAAGCAAGGTGTCGCGCAAAACTACCAAATACGGCAACCGCCAGTAACGAGGGACGGTATGTGCAGTCCTTTTCTGCGTGAAACCAGTATACGAAGAAGTGTGGTTGCTGTTACAACGGGGCATGCTGTACGGCGTTAGGGCGCAACGGTGTCCCGGTATCGGAAAGTTTTGGGGCCGATTACCATGGAAAATTAATATCTTAGAAAGTCCTTTTTGCTCACTAATACTGCGAAATATATTACTTATTGTTTTTATTGTTGGTTCACAACATGACCTTAGTCCAATTTTTATGCTTTTTTTTTGAAATTCCTGGGTTCATGTGCTAATTGGGATGTGTGTACCAAACGCCTTCAAAGTCAGGCTGGAGGCTACAAACTCCGTCAACCAAACCAACATTGGATTTGTTGGAGCGAATACTACCATTTTATAATGCCCATCGGTTTTTCACAGTTTTCTCAAAAGACAGTGAAGTCTCTGAGGTGATGCCAGCAATCGTCGTCAAAAAGGTGGCCTTTCTTAAATCATTTGAGACGGGGGTGCACCACTCTTGTGCTGAAATGGTAGGACACACTAGCAGTGACTGATCGATGATGACTGACACACGCTTTAACGAAGTTGATTGCACAAAATTTTTTATTAAATGTGCTTATCTGCTACCCACGTGTGCTCAAAAAGGGTGCGTTTTTGACCCCATGTGGCAAAAAAAGACCGAGAAAATTGTCCAGTTGGTATGTCCTAACTTTTCCATCACACAATGCAGACCCTACATTACCTAACTGTATACTTCTTTGGTCCAGGCGTAACGTTTTAGTAATTGAGAGGGATGATTTGTCAGATGATGTCAAAACCGGCCTACCTTTCTTTTTCGACTCAAAAATTCCGAGCTTTAATCGTACGAGGTTTCCAGTCATACTGGTGAATTGGAAAGTGCTAGTGAGTTATTCGATAAATATGTGGTTTCACTCTCCGGAATTGTGAATTAAAATATTGGTTGTCCGAAACTCGTGAAGAAAAAGACACTTAGATTATCCGGTACCTATTAGCATTTACGACTGTTCACAAGGTATTTCTGCGACTTTAGGAATCGCTTTCAAAACTACAGCTCTCCACTCCAGCATATCTTCGCACTATTGCACTGTTACAACCTTAGTGGAGATAATATGGATCAAAAAATTTCCACTAAACTTTTCCTAAGAGTTATCGAGGGTCCTGATAACGAATATGACACCATTCTTAGCGTTGGCGCCTTTTAGCGCCTGCTGGCGCCACTTCGTCAAGGCAGCTGCTTTCACCAAATTCGAGGTGAACATTTGTATAGGGGTTAATTCGGTGCTCCGATTACGAATATAAGCGGAGAGTGTGGTGGTAAGAGGGACTACTGCTCACACGGTCCCTGGATCAAATTTTAGGTCAAATCCAACCTACGCCAACCAATTCTATACATAGATTTGTTGTTGCTAGGAGTGATAGGTACTACACAGTACACATCGATAACATAATTTTGAAAAAGTCGTAGTCTGATGGTTAAAACACCTGATATCAGTGTTGATATGGCTCAAGAAGTTATTTATTAGACAATTTACACACTCAGAAACAACAAATTATTAGAACAAAAAAGAAACAAATGAACGGGAACCGTTCAGTCGCATACGCAATCGTAAGAAGTATGCAACCACACCCGTGAAACAAGACCAAAGTGGATAGCGCAAAATTCAGCGAGAAGGGCTGATAAATTGTCATGAATCTCCTAACAGTACTGTTTAAAGTTCGTCCTTTGCTTCATCGCCTCCAGCTCCTGCACCAGCTCCTCCGGCATCCTTGTACAGCTTGCTAGTTATTGGCATAACTTTGCTTTCCAGTTCCTAAATGTCGTCATGATTTTCTAAATTTTCTAAATTGATAATAGGTTTTCCTGTCTATTTTTTGATGTTTTGTGTGCCGTCTGCGAAAGCAGAACGAACTAGAACTCGAAATTAAAATTAGAATTGAAATTGAATAAAATTAAAAATTAGAACTCCGCCTATGATCGGAGAGCTGCGCCTGCTATAGACAGCAAAACAGGCAGCACAACCTTCTTTCTATACAGTTTCGCCTTCGCAAAGTTTTGTTGACCTCATTCGTGATCGGATCACTTAGCTGAAGCTCACAGGTTACTGCGAAAAACCCATTTCACATTGCACTTTACAATCCGAACGAAAAGCGGGTCGTTTTTGTTAGATTAAAGAAGGTAGGAAAAGGGACCACGCCTTTACGGGACCGCGATTTTTTTGCAGAACCCCCTTATCGGATTTTCCGACTTTTCAACATATCCCATATGACTTGAAAGCACAAATTAGTTATGCCTGATTCAGTGGTGGCCTTTTCAACAGTGTTAAGCACATTTGGTTCGATCAAATATTCCAGTTAAATTTTACCATTGTTCGATATTCAGTGACCACCCTCACCATCTTCGAGGATCTCGCTGTCCTCACACAAGCTTTCCAACTATCGCTGCACATCAACTTTTTCGTGAGTGCAAGTAAATCAATAGTTCATATTCATTCATATAAGCGGATTCCGCTCCTTTCTGTGCTATTTATGGTAATGGTAAAAGAAACAAATCATGCGAGTTGACTTGTTAAACACCTTGACATGCCGTGCTGTTCAGCACGTGCTCCCTTGCACAAGTTCCTTTTCATACCAATTATTATTTGCCATATTTCCTTACACTAAGCGTTGGGCAGTGGTGCGGAAACGGCGGAGAGATCTCAGAGATCCGGGTAGCAATATATTCGTCAAATGATAGTTTGAATGATTGCCTTTTTAGATTGAGATTGATCGATCAAAAACCACCGACTGCGCGTAAAGTGCGCAACATGCTCCAGCGCCTGTGTTGACGCTCTTGGCAAAGTCCGAACGTCCGCACAGACAGCAGTTTCCAGCGCCATAAATGAAAGAGACAACTTTAAGCGAGTTAGCCATGTTGTGAAATGGGCAAAAGTGCAAGCACCACCAGGGAACGGTCCCACGACCTCTTACCTGCTCTTGCACGAAGTCACTAGCCCCGCGTTTCATCACTTGACACTCCATTCGGAAAATCGTTCAGCAATAAGGTAAGTTTTGAGCTCATCGTCTCAAGACAAATGCAGTGATGCCTCACCTCGCTGCAAATGGCCGGACAACCTTTTGACCTTCCTTGGTGAGTACACAGGTACCTGATATTGGAGCGTGGAAACCCGTTTCTGACCCTACTGTTCCTCGCACGCTCTCGCAATTTCATCAAACTGAATACACGCTTCAGTCCGCTCAGTTTCTTCAATTTACTATCAATTCAGTTCAAAAGAAGGAATCCTCAGTCTTTCGTGCATTCGATTCAATTGACCAGGGAATTCAAATCACCCGATAACCTGGAAGCTCTAGAATTGTCGAAGCACCGGCAATTTTGACTCAAGTCAATTCTGCGATGGTCGGTACAAATAAGCATGGAAGTCTCAACCATCAAAACACCAAAAAAGCTAGATAGTTCTGTGGCCAAATTACCACCACTTCTGCTTCTTCTTCTATTATTCGGGAACAACACGCAAAGATATTCATATTAAAGTAGTACGTGCTTAAAAAACTCACCTTTTTCTGCTCCTTTAGCTCATCGGTAGTCGCCTCACGATTGCTCTCGAGCCATTTAATAGTTTCATCAACGGCTTCCTCTAGCGTCTTCTTGTCAGCATCATCTAACTTTCCACCCAGCTTTTCTTTGTCACCGATCTGATTTTTCAGTGAATAGGCGTACGATTCCAGCTCATTGCGCGCTTCTACTTGCTCTTTGACTTTCTTATCATCTTCGGCAAATTTCTCAGCATCGTTGATCATGCGTTCAATGTCTTCAGGGCTGAGACGGTTCTGGTCGTTGGTGATGGTAATTTTGTTCTTGTTCCCAGTACCTTTATCCTCTGCAGTTACGTGAAGTATTCCATTAACGTCGATTTCGAAGGTTACCTGAACGTGACGGATACAGTGAAGAATGTCACATGCAAGATGCAAGAAAATCGATAAAAAGAAAAAAGAAGAAAATGTGGAGAAATCCGAGCAGAGAACAAACAGTTGTGGCAAATAGGGGACGAGAAAATGTCAGAGACAAGGAGTTTGAAGAGATCAGTTAGAGGGAGTTAATCCTAATTATAAAGGTCATGTAAACTCCACGTTAGGCAACAATATGCATGCTCATTTATTTACACGTATAAGCGCATAAAGAAGGGGGAACAAACTTATGAGAAGACTTCCATAACACTTGCTGCTGACGATGGCTCAAAGCTTCATACGATGCCAAACGAGAAATCTAAGCCAGGGGTACAGGCAAATTCAGGAGAGTGAGATGATCGAGATCTGCTACCATACGCTACGCATAGCGACGCTTGGAAGGGGGAAGGGAGTCTGGCATATTTACGCGTTGGTTATATGCACGTTAAGCACACGAAGTGTTTTGCGGTGGTAATGACGATGGAGTGTGTGGTCTTCACTTTCTCATTTCTCTCTCGATCTCACTTTCTCTTTCTTCTATTCATCATATTCCAGTGAAATGAGTAAACCCAGAAAACTGATCAAGAAGTGAGTTATATGTATAGGATATTTGAAAATTTAGGAAAAAAGCCTCGAAATTGATAATTGAAGGAGGTTAGGATGCACTACGCACAGAAGAATGAAACATGAGTATAAAGCGCAAGAAGGTATGAAGAAGATATGACGAGTCGAGTTTCAAGCTGACAATTTAACATAACACTGATATGTAAACATCGCAATACCTCAATTTGTGGAACTCCACGAGGTGCTGGTGGAATATTGGTTAGGTCAAACTTGCCAAGCTCGTGATTATCCTTCGTCATAGGGCGCTCTCCTTCAAACACCTAAATCATAGGCAAGAAAATAGAAGAACAAAGTGCTCAATCATTTCTGCCTCGAACCAGTTTTTTTTTACCAAAAACACAAACCACTACAAAAGTGAAAGCAGCCTGATAAGAAAAAAATTAATGAGGTTAGAAGTACCTGAATCGTAACAGTCGGTTGATTATCTGCAGCGGTCGAGAAAATCTGCGATTTTTTTGTCGGGATGACGGTGTTTCGAGTGATCAGCTTCGTCATCACACCTCCTACTGTTTCAATTCCAAGTGTCAATGGGTTCACATCGAGAAGAACGATGTCTCCTGTGTTTTCTTCACCACTGATTACTCCAGCTTGAACTGCAGCGCCATACGCAACTGCTTCATCGGGATTTATTCCGCGTGATGGCTCTTTGCCATTGAAAAAGTCTTTGATCAGCTGCTGAACTTTTGGTATACGAGTTGAACCCCCGACAAGCACAATCTCATGTACTTGGTCTTTTTTGAGATCAGAGTCCTCTAGCACTTTTTGTACAGGCTTCAAAGTCGCACGGAATAGATCCATATTCAGTTCTTCGAATTTGGCACGAGTCAAGGACTCAGAGAAGTCTTCGCCATCCATGATTGATTCAACCTCGACTTTCGTCTGGTGTTGAGTGGATAGAGCTCTTTTCGCTTTTTCGACTTCACGGCGCAGCTTCTGTACAGCACGATTGTCCTTTCGCAAATCTTTACCAGTTTTCTTCTTATACAGTTTAATGAAATACTCCATTACACGTTGGTCAAAATCTTCTCCTCCAAGATGAGTGTCTCCATTAGTCGCTAACACTTCAAAAACGCCATTGTCAATGGTTAGCATCGAAACGTCGAAGGTACCACCGCCCAAGTCGAATACCAGGATGTTTCTTTCGCCTGAAAACAAAGTACATGCGATTCGCTCCACTCCAAAAAAAAACTCCGAATATTCCCAAATCAACTACTTAGCAGACTTAATCCCGATCGTGTATCACTATTGTTTTGGTTGTGTGTGCTGATTGTATAGCCGAGGCAAAAAATTCGATCCGTATATCATGAAAAAAAAACGATGACAGATCCAAAAAATATCGCACAATTACTATTATGATGGCAGTGCAAATAAGCTTACACGTCTACGCGCTGGCAGTGCTTTAGTGATGGCTCTCGTTCCAAGGTCTGAATAAAAAGAGGTAAAGGCACAAATAGTCACACCTTCTTTCTTATCGAGCCCATAGGCGATAGCAGCCGCAGTTGGTTCATTGATAATACGAACAACATTCAATCCAGCGATAGTTCCGGCATCTTTAGTGGCTTGCCGCTGAGCATCATTAAAATAGGCCGGTACTGTAACCACTGCATGCTTCACTTCCTTTCCAAGGTATGACTCAGCGATCTCCTTCATTTTCCCAAGTACCATGGCCGATATCTCTTCAGGAGTGAAGTGCTTAGTTTCTTTACCAACGTTTAGTGAAACGTGAGGTTTATTGTTCTTATCCACGATCTGAAAACGAAACAACCTCAAGGATTCACTCTCCTGTAATCATCTTTCCTTGAATAGAAAAAATAAATATATAACAAGGATGTGAAGTTAAACCTTGAACGGCCAGAGCTTGATGTCGTCTTGTACGGTCTTGTCAGTATAGTCGCGGCCAATAAGTCGCTTAGCGTCGAACACAGTATTTTCTGGATTGATGGTGAGTTGGTTTTTAGCAGCATCACCGATCATACGTTCCCCACTGTCTCCAGCAAACGCGACATATGATGGAGTTATCCGGTTTCCTAGAAGAGATTCTTTGTATACCACCACTACACATATATAAGTGAGCCAATACAGTTTTGGGCGCCATGCCGGTGTTTCTTCCTTCACCTCGCATCTTTTCTTGTAGGTACTTGTGATTTTTTTTTCTGAACTCTTGTCATTTGTTATACATCATGTGTTCGCGACATAACCTCGTCTCGCAACATATTTGACCGAATTGATGGATGAAGCGTTCAGTAGTACATCTGATTTAAGAACATTATAGCCACATGCCCATCACTTGATAATCCTTACCTCTTCATAATTACATTTACTCATCAGTTGCCCCACACTTCGTCTCTCGATAGGAACAGAAACGGTATTTTGTGAACAATGAAAATATTGCGAACTAATAACCCCCTGAGCGGTTTGTAATAACTCGAATCATTTGAAGATGCACATTGCTATCAATGTTCAGTCTCTAGTTCTATGGAGCGTCCGTCCCAGACCGGGTAGCGTCGGGACGGACGCTCCATAGAACTTTGGCTATAGGCATCAATGTGGTGCTTGGCTTGGACTTTTTGATGATGATCTATTACCTATGTTCTTTCACACCACTAATTCTTCGAACTTTATTCGGCTGTAGGAATAATGCTGATCTTGTGGATAAGTTTGACAACGAATCTCTGCGCTCCTCATTCGTGTGACTTTATTTCGTCTAGCCGCTTGAGTTCAAAATGGTCATTATGGACGTGAATGAAACAGCGCGTGTATTCTGCATTCATTTTATGAGCCCGAGCCTTGAGTTTTCCCTTTGAGGACGCCACACCCCGCAATCGCCAATCAAGCCCATCATTTTGAGCAGCAGATTTCTCGTGCAAAAAGTGTTATTTGATAAACCCCTTCCATTATAGCCATCAGAACTTCTTTTCTTTTCTAAACATGCCACTGTATTTGAACGTGTCGTAGCTAAACGTACTAGCTTGAGATCAAAACTGTGTTCGAGGTCCCCTTTAGTCTTTGTATCCTGCAGCCAGGATACCGAAGAGGGTTCAGCACGATCGACCATATCCAACGGTTACGGAGACTCACAGAAGTATCACGAGAGTACAAGATGCCGCTTTATCTTACGTTCATAGACTTGAAGAAGGCCTTCGACTCTGTGGAGACAGAAAAGGTTATCGAAGCCTTGGGCAACCAGGGCGCCCCTACTCAGTACATAAGGATTCTTCGTGAGCTCTAAAGCAACTTTACCACCAGAATCTCGCCATTCTACAAGAAGGTCATCATCGACGTCAAGAGAGGGGTTCGACAGGGCGACACCATCTCGCCCAAACTCTTCAGTGCCGCTCTCGAAAACGTCATGCTTCAGTTGGAATGGGAAAACGTGGGAGTGAAGGTCGACGGTCGGCAACTACACCACCTTCGTTTTGCTGACGATATCGTCCTTATAACGCCGAACATCGAGTAGGTTGAGCGAATGCTGGCTGATTTCGACTGCGCCTGTGGTAAGGTTGATCTGCAGCTGAACCTAACGAAGACGATGTTTATGAGAAACGGATTGGTTCCTGGTACCCCATTCATGCTCAACGGAACGAACATCACCGAATGCTCCAGCCACGTGTACCTAGGTCGGGGAATCAATATTATGAACGACCTAGCTCCACAGCTGAGCAGGAGGAAGCGAGCGGCATGGAGAGCATTTAAAAACATCGAGGGGCAGTGAAGAAGACGAAAAACATCCGGCTCCGTGCTCAACTTCGATTACGCTGTCCTTACTGCCCTAACCTACGCCTCAGAGACTTGGACTCTGCGAAGAGGAACATGCGGTCAGCGTTATCCAATGCGCTGTCGGGAGGACAATGCTAGGAGTAACCCTATCCACGCAAGTGCAGAGGGGAATTCGGAGTTCGGAACTACGCCAACGATCGAAGATCAGGGACGCTGCCGTTTTAGCCAAGGAATCGAAGATAGGGTGGGCCGGACACGTCATGCGATTTTGCGATGACTGTTGGACCAGAGCGGTTACCGACTGGATCCCTCGGGACGTCAAACAAACACCTGGGCGACCGCCGGATGGTCAGACTTCTTCACGAAAGCTCTGAACAAAAGGAATGAACGGCTCGTGTCCCTCGACGTTGCTGGCGCCCGGTCGAGCAAATCGGCGACCAACGTGACGAAACGCACTGGAATTTAGACCAGACAACACAAATCACCACGGCTTTCACTTTACGAGTTTTCTAATAACAATTATCTTTGTAACTTTCATCAATTGGGTTTTTAATCTGCATTTACTGATGTAGCTGGCTGCTGGATACGAAGAGCACTCCCTCCATCTATACTCTAAATGCTACCAAATCTACTCTGTCCTGCGTTGGCTGGAAGTCTTCCTCACGTACCAAACCTCAAGTGCACTCTAACACTTTGTAGAGTAGCTGCTGACACACTGAGGACAGTGTGACGCGGTTGCACGTCGCGTTTTGGCGCAAAGGATACTCGTTTTTCTTTATTTGTCTGGATGTATCAGAACTACTCTTGCACTCAGAAGACAATACAAGTTACCAATAACGACAGTTTTTTTTAGTCAGTGCAAGCATTTGAAACCGCAGTCACGGTCTACGTACTTCTTAAGATCCGTTCTCTAAAAACAGGCTCCGGAATTAGGCACGCCAATCTGATCCATCCCGTCCATACTAGAGAGGCGGACGTGATATCACGCCCCTTTTTCAGGGCTTGAAAGTACGCGACAACAACGCTAAAACATCGCTCGACAACCCACACCTTTGTCCGCAAGTCCTGCTCTGCGGTCGGCTGTCACGTGACGCTGCGAGAAAAGCGCGGGCGCAATTGCGACAGCGGTTGCAGTTCAGTGACACTGAAGCAACCACAGCTAGGTTCGAGAAACTCGTCCAACACACCTCTTCACTACTCGAAGGGGGATGCCGCTGAAATGGAATAGGTGTTCATCGGGGCGTAATCGGGCTTTCTCTTGCTTTTTTTTTCTTTGCCAGACCACGCCTACCTCCAGCTTCGTTACTGAACGCTCTTTCACACCCATTTTGTCACCTTTAAATCACCCCAAGGGGGCTCTCACCTGAATTCTCACCTAAAGAGCGGCTCACGACTACATTACCTAACACATGCAAACTTTTGCCGCATTGTCATTGGCTCACCTACCCGGAGACACTACCCCCTCCAAAGCTTAGACTTTTAAGCTAGTGTCAGAGTTCGCAATTCATCACGTGATTCAAACGCAGAATCACAAGGCCCCGATCTGCGGCTATGAGGGGATGCTCCAGTCCCGCCGCCCATTCTGTTTGATTGTGATGATTTAATGACGACTGTTCATGTTACACTTGCTTCATGTTCAATGTTTATGCAGAAATTCCATGGTGGGTTTCGTCCCAACCGAAGAAAAAAAATTGACTAGAATCGTCAACCTTTGAGACACTCAATGACAATAATCACAATCAAGTAGAATTGGCGATGGGATTGAAGCAGCACCTCGCAGTATTAATCTGGACGCTCGCACTTTTTGCGATTCGTGTGATGAATCGCGGACTCCGACATCGGCCCTGGAGCTCTCACCTTCCACCTTGGAATCCGGAGCCAAGCCATACGCCGTTTTCTACCCGTCTGTGCTCTAGCTATTCGAAGCCGAAATATGCTCCATTTCCCAAAAAAAAGCATAAATAAGTAATAAGATGGGCAAATTCCGCGAGTGACTGCACTTTCAGTCAATTGGAACTTGGCTCTCTCTGAGGACCAGAGTTCTTCACCTGAGAAAAAAGATCCTTGACATATTTATCATATCAATGGTACACCTCTAATTGCAGTCGATCAAGTTACCGATCTGGGGTTCCTAATAACCAGGGATCTCAACTTCGATTCTCACTGCGAAAATATTGTAAGAAAAGCTACAGTTGTCATGTACAAATTGTTCAGAACTTTGTCACCCAGGAACCCTCAGTTTTGCTGCGGGCTTATAAGTCATACATTAGGCCTCCCCTGGAATACAGTCTCCCGTGTTCACCCCATTTCGGGTCATGTCAGTTAAGAAACTCGAGGCCATGCAAAAAAATTTCGCTAAGAAACTAATGGTGAGGATACTCGGCTTAATGTATGATCAAATCCCCTCAGCTGCTGTCAGAAACAGGAACTTAGGTTTAACTACTTCGGAGTTTAGACGGAGGAAATACGATCTCTTATTATTTCACAAACTGATACATGGCAAAATGAACCTAGATATCGGTGAACTCTGGATTCGAAGGTCCTCAATAACGAGAAGCGAGGGGTTATAGATGTGGGTAGAGCCAGATCAAATATTAGGAGTCATTTCTTCACTTATAGGGTGCTTTCCTCGTTTCGAAAGTTATGCAAGAAGCGTCGGATATTTACAGCATCCTACAACACATTCAAAAACATTCTGGACACTTGTTTGAGTCCGCCAATCCATTGTACCTATTCTTCTCTTGTTTTTGTGTTGTATCTTTGCTATTTTGTTTCTATGTCTCTTGCGTTATCATGTTAGTTTCTAATTATTGTCCAGGACTCGTGTTAAGTTTCCATTATGCACAAATCTGCTCGTATAATAAATGAATATATATATACCAGTTTAGCTCCGCCGCACCCGCGCGCATCAAATGGGTAGGCCAGTGAAGCTGGAAGAGTTGCTGATATAGGTTTTGTGAAGAAATAACATAAGATTGTCTGGTAAGATGTATGCATAATGTTTGATAGCTTGGTATTATCCCATTGAAGATTGTCTCGACGTATTGCGCGCAGCGCATCGGAATGCAGCTAGTCTTTACCTGATGAAATTCAGCATCTCATACGACGCTCTGACTGATTTACGTTTTGATGCATTTGATAATTGAGGGCTCGGTGTGTGCAAAGATGAAAAATAAACCAATCAAGCAGCATCTAACCGAGTTTGGTGAAATTGGAAATATAACATGGAATTCGCTATTGTTCGCAGTCAGATAGTT